TTTTTAACTCTGGTCCTCACAGAGATGTGGTGCCTGTTGCTGTGCTGCGCTGTTTTTAACTCTGGTCCTCACAGAGATGTGGTGCCTGTTGCTGTGCTGTGCTGTTTTTAACTCTGGTCCTCACAGAGATGTGGTGCCTGGGACATCTCCACACAGCCTGGAAAAACTAGCTATTTAAAAGCAGTGTCACGTATCACATCTGCTTTTCTTTCTTCTCCATAATATTTTTATGTCTGATCCACGTACCCGTTTCCCAACGCGAGCTTGCAGAGGACGTAGGATCACAGGATTTCTGCTCACGTGCAGTTATAGTGCGTCCACTTGGAGTTTGTTCAGGTGCCATCTCTCAGAGCCGTGCAGCCATCTTGACGCCTTCTGCACTGCAGAAGTTCCTGAGAACGTTCCACCAGAAAGAATAATAATAGCATCTTTAAACTTAGCATTTTGCCTCGGGATTTCAGAGGAACGTACAAAGCCTCAAACGCTTGTAGACGATCAGAATAATTAGGTAACGACACGACTGTTGATGGCTGCAAAGAAATTATTCCACTCTGACATGGTAACAGCAGACACTTTTGTTGTTGCTGCTTCAAACAGATGACATGTGGAGGTTTTTTTTGTAAATAGAAGTCAGTTTAAGTGTTAGACATTATTATTTGCTATTAGCAGCAACATCTTAGAATATATAGTGGGTGTGGAGGGTTAGAAATTGTTCTGAGCTGATTTTGAGGAGAAATACGACATGCAACTAAATTTTTGATAGTCTTCACAAATGAGAAACAAACTGGCGGAAGGCTCCAGCTGAGGTATCATCAGAACATGGACTCGACTAGCAGTGTTTTGTTGCTGTAGTGTTCTGTGAAGTGGCACTTTCACAATCAGTCAGGTCGGCAAGTGGGATGCTGGCGGGTTGGGTGTTGTGCCGTCCTTTTCTCTGCCTGCATGAATCGGGGAAGGCAGGCTTTGGCACTGCAAGCTGACCAAACCTCCCTCTGCTTCCTCCCACAGAGACCTCAGCATGAACAGCCTCACGCTGCTCCGGGCAGGAGCCCTTGGTCACCTCCGTTTCCTGGAAGAGCTGTGAGTATAGGGTGGCAGCAGTGAGACATGGCAGCATGGGCATGTGGGGGGAGTCGTGTGGGCAGGAGGGTGGTCGAGCTCCAGGACGACCTGCCCATGCTCCTGGACAAGCTGGTCAGGTGCTATGCAGTGGAGCTGTTAAATAAAACTGGATATTCAACTGGAAATTATCGGGATAACACTCCCAGTAGACGTCCCAGCATGTTCACAGATGATGGGTACGGGTCTGATGGGTGGGGCCCAGAGGACTCCCATGGTTTCATCTCGGGGTGGATTGTGGGAAACTCCGAAGCTAGGAGATGAATCCGCATTCTTAACATGATCTTGGAGTGGCTGCTGAATCTGGACCAGGAGGAACCACAGCTGAAGGTCCTGCTATTACTCCCAATTCCAGCGACCATGGTAGCTATCTGACAGTAAAGGCTAAAGGTGTCAGGGATCTGGGAGGATTTGGTGTGTGGGCGTGGCATGATGCAGGCTGGGAAGGAGGTGGACGACCCACTTGTGGCTCACCGGACAAATCAGGGATTATTAACTGAACTAAAAAAAACCACAAGAAACACTTACAAAACAAAGGACCATGAGGGGTGAAATGTAAATGGGCTAGACCAGGGTTCTTCAACTCTGGACCTCGATTCCAAATCCAGGCCGTGTTTTCAGTTCCCCCAGGTAGTTGTTTAATAATTACTGATTCTGATTGGTCAGAGGCTTCACACCTGACTGACAGGTAAAGGAAGGCTAGAAAACCAGCAGTGCTCGGACCTCGAGGACCGTGAGTTGAATAACCCTGGGCTAGACAAAGACTAATTACAAAACAGGGCAGGTAAACAGGTAACAGGTAAACCAATAGGGGAAGGTGCAGGATAACGAGCAATCAGGAAAACACACAAGGGCAGGCAACAAGTGAAGCTAATAAACTCAAAGGAACTAAACAGGGAAACTAAGGACAAACCAAGGAACAGAGTAACATAATCTAACACTGGGGAATAACAGACAGGTAAAAAGACAAGCAGGGGCACAAGGAACGAAACCAAAACCAAATGGTTCATACAAATGAAACACTAGGGAACAAAATACAAAAACAGAGGAGGCAGGATTCAAACACACAACAGGGGGGGTAACTGCTGCACACTCAGCTCACTAAGCCATGTGGCCAATTGGGGGGAGCAGGGGAAACACTACAGACTAGGACAACAGGGCAAAGGACACAGACTGGGACAACAGGAGCTGACCCTGACAAAGGGAGGGGGGTCTGTGGGTTCAGATCGGAGGGGGGGTAAGATGAAACCTTCAAGCCATTTACTTTTTTTAAATATTGTGGGCAGTTTTGGGGTGGGTCTCTGACCCACTCTTCTTGGTTCTGCAAGTGGCAGAATACTGGAAACCAGTATTCTGTCTGTCAACATGTCTGTCCTTCAGTGCTGCTGGGAATTCAGGACCGCAGGTGGAGGATGGGAGCACCATGCTTGTGAGCTTCTCCGTCACACTCACAAAATCAAAATGCAGATGTATATTCCGGTATATTTTTCCTGGGAACATTTGGTTGTTTATAACTGAAGACTTGAGAGTGACCTCGTCCTGTAGGGATTGTCGTTTCCTCAGGACTGGATTGGCTCCTGTCCCTTCATCGATACCTGGTCCACTGGATCTAGGGCTCCAGGAGGCTGGGTGGGAATGAAGGAGATGAATATAAGGTCAACACGTGCAAAAGCCCACATGCAGCCAGCCAGGGATGGTCTGCAGAGGCTCCATGGATCCGGCGAAGTGAAACGTGAAGATTGATCAAAGCTCATCTCTGGCTTGGACAGTGTGCATGGTTAGGAGTGGGGATGTCTTCCTGCCTCGTGAGGGAGTTTCTCTGGAGTCGTGCAGAAAAGTGAATGTCCATGTATAACTTCTACGTCCTACATAGTTAAAATTGTCCAGGAGCTCAATCTCAGGCCAGCTTTTCTTTTTCAGTCGACGGAGTTTTATGATCGCGCTTGTAAAACCGGGCAGTTAAATTTCCCCAACAAGTTCCCCTCCTAACTATGTGGTTTCATAAACCGTTTTTATTTACTTGATCTCCTCAAAGGTGAGTGGAGGGGCTGAGGGCAGCCAAACAGCACGATAAAGTTCTAGCTATCATGACCTCGGCTGAAAGGCACAGATGTTTTAGATGGAACATCATTTGGTTTTCTTGACCAACAAACTAAACAGGGATGACCTAATTGCTCTCTAAACACGTTAGCAAATTTTGGGATTTACAGCCAGTTGCAGCAAAGACAATCACTTCATCACTTCACCTTGGATTGGATTCAGGATTTTCTAAAATATGTTCTGTATAACAAAGCTTTACCAAATCATCTTGAGGCTTCCTCTTGATAACATCAACGAACCGTGCCGTTTTCCGCTGAATTAGTCAAAACAAAGACATGCCTTTAGCAGAATGTGGATTTCTCAATGACTTAATGTTGTGACCGTTTACATGTGTCTGGTGGGCACACGGCCGTGTGTATCGCACTAATCTGTTAATCAGTGAATATGCCGATGCATTTGAATTATACACACCCAACCTCCAGATGTAAGCGTTTATGGCCAATATAAAAAGATGAGGAAACTGAACTTGCATCTGTCAAAATCTCTCTGGTACAATAAGAGCAGCGTCTCTCGATTTCTGAAAATATTGTGGAATTTTGTCAGCATTTGCTGTCCCTGCACGCCGTCCCTGTTTGTCACAGGGTCTGGGTTTCCAAAACCTTTTTTTCTTGGCTTTGCCTGGATAACATTCACCACCAATATGGTTCAAACGGCGCTCCTACAACAGAATGCTGAAGTGCATTAGCTATCTTTATACACGGGGCAGTGTGTGGCTCAGTGGGCTAAGCCATGTGCCTATAATCACAAGGTCACCGGTTCAAACCCAGCCTCAGCACATCTGCGGGTCCTTGAGCAAGACTCTCAACCCCCAGCTCCCTGGGCACCACTACAGGTGGCTGCCCTTCATGGACAACTTGCTCTACAAAGAGCAAGTTGAGGGAGGCGTAAAAACAATTTCCCCACAGGGATCAATAAAGTATCTATTATTATTATTATTATTATTATTGGTACTTGCTGGGTCATGACCCATGGCCCGGATTTAGCACAGGCGTGTGTTTCGGTGAGACTTGGGGTCTTTCTGAGGCCAGTGCAGTATCTCAGCTCTGCAAAGAGCTGGTCCTACCTGTTGCCTTGTGCTGCTTAAGACGCCATTCATGCAGCCGGGCTGACGTGGACATCATTTGGCTGAGTTTCCTTTTCCAAACTGGACACACAAACATTGGGCAGTACGGGGGTTAGCAGGCCTCAGTGTGGCTGAGGAACCTGTGGGATGTTCGCCTTGCTGGTGCTCATCTCCAGCCTCGGTAGATTTTCTCAATGTCCCAGTGCTCAGGTGATGGAGGCGTAAATCGCTCACCATCCACCTGCAACAACTGAGTGACGCCTGGGGCGTAATGGCCGTGGAAGCCAGCTCCGGACCCCAGACTGAACTGCGAAAGGACAGAGAGAAGCCCCGACACCCCAGAAGGAGTCTATCATCTTGGCATCAGAAGGATGCTATCATCTTCGGAAGACAATGGACGATTGAAAAGTTGTATCCCATACTTAATTCCGGAGCATATTTATTGAGGAAATTAGATTTTATTTGATTTCTTATCCCAATACATTTATTTACATAATAGCTGTAATCTTTAAATCTTAAGCTGCTTATCTGCTATTTATATGTAAATATCAATTTAATATGTACTGCTGTTGCCCGGGAACACAGCTGCCATGGCTGTCCAGTGTCTGTTTATCTATTGTTCATTGTGAACAACGTGTTCGCCTCGCTTGTTTGCCCTAGAAGGAGGAAGAGAGAGCATTTCTCAGTATTCTCTCATGTGTTGGCACCTACCATTCAGCATTATCTGAATGGCTTCTCTTCACAGTTTAATTAACTCCACATGGCATGAAAACCAACTCGATTGTGTGTGAGTGTGTGTTTTTCCTGCTGCCCCTACAGGCGACTTGCGGGGAATGACCTGAACCACATTCCTGCCGGAGCCTTCTCTGGCCTTGTCAGCCTCAAAGTGCTGTAAGTACGTCGCCCAAACCGCGGCCGCCCTTTAAGAATGACACCCGCCGGGTGAGTGTCAGAGGCAGCGTCAAGGGAGAGAGGCACGGACATCCAGGGGACTCTGCAGTGCGATAAAGGGGAATAATTAGCATAAGGTTGCAGATTAACTCATTATTTTATGCCTATTTCCATTTTCTGACTTTGTGACCTGGTGACAGGGTAGCAATAAAGCCATTCCAGAAATTGTTTATGTTTTCTGTGAATATGAATCAGTGACGTTGATTGGCCATGTACCTTCACACTAACTGGGAATTCTTCTTGGCATGGTGTTTGCAGTGACATATTTGCTGTTGTGTATTGTATACTTGTATATTTTTTTGTAAAACCATTCATTTTCTTCTTGTTCTTAAGCGATTGGGCTATACACACCTCGGGATGAGCTGGACAAGGGAGGTCGTAACTTTTGTCCCCTCTGGGCTCCCATACAGGATGCTGCAGAACAACCAGCTCTGGCAGGTCCCCAGTGAGTCGCTGCGGCCCCTACGGAACCTGCAGTCCCTGTGAGTGTAAGAGGGAGCCCTGTGAGTGTGGGAGGGAGCCCTGTGAGAGGGAGCCCTGTGAGTGTGGGAGGGAGCCCTGTGAGTGTGGGAGGGAGCCCTGTGAGTGTCGGAGGGAGCCCTGTGAGTGTCGGAGGGAGCCCTGTGAGTGTGGGAGGGAACCCTGTGAGTGTGGGAGGGAGCCCTGCTCTGAAATCAGTCCTCAGTGGATGTTTTGGAGGTTAGATCACCTAAGGTGTCCTTAGGTGAACAGATACAGGGCTAGCGCCTGGCTGGGGCATTTGCCGCAGGCACCAGACCACTAGGGGGCGCATTATGTACTGTAACACACAGCAATAGGCTCCAGACCATTGACGCAGAATGCAGTTACTGACAGCGGATATTTTCCGTATGGTAACACCATCCACTATCTCTTCGGCACGACTCTGGAGGGATCCGTTGCAATGTGTCATTTGGCCCCTTGTAGATGGGGATGCTGGTTAAAGCAGATCAACATCAGTGATGCAGAGTCTGGCTGTTTGGAAAGTCACTCTCGCCCCTCTTCCCATCCTCCCTGATACATGCAGATGGTCAGAGTGTGTCTACAGGGGCGGCTGACAGGCGCGAAAGGCTTCAGGCTCATAAGTCAAAGTTTGCCAGTTCAAATCCCCGCAGGGTCCCCGTTACGGTGAAGTTTTCAGCTCTGAATTATCCAATTAAACTGTCCTGCCGTTAAAAGTTGCTTTGCATGAAAGGGTCCTTCAGGCAGGGAGATGGAGGACCACGAAGGAAGGCACGCACGCCGGCATACAGCCTCCCTTTGTCCGACGCTGCCCTCGGGGGCCTGAATCAGCGCCGCTGACGTCGACCGGGCCTCCTCACTCCCACTCCATCACGCCATGGTGTTCTGAGAGCCCGGTCCCCCAACGCGCCTGGCCAGTGGGGCGGTGCGGACGCGTGGCCCAAGGTAAACACCGATCAGCGCTGTTTATGGATCCCAGCCGCTGAGTCGCCGTGGTTAGCACAGCTAGCGCGCTATGGCAGGACCCCAGAGTCCGTCCTGCTGCACGCCCAAAACAAATGTCAGCACTTGGGGGTGAGGGGGGGGGGGCGGAAATCACTACCATGCCGCTGAGGAATGTGAGGACCTCCCAGCTTCACTGCTCCCTTCTGGGAGGAACCACTGAGATGTTCATCAGCCGCCCCCCCCCCACTGCTGATGGACCACTGCAGGACCCTCACTTTGTTTATTAAACAGAAATGTAAACAAAGCAAGCAATGCAAACGGCTGAGTAATGAAGGTATTTCACTGCACATGTAGCAGTAAAGCCACGAGTATTACATAGCCCTAGCCCCCCCCCCCCCTTAACCAGCAGACAGAAGCTGGTTTGTGGGATGCAAGCTGCTGGATCCCAGCCCCTTCTCTGGGGTGGGGTGGGGGGGGGGCATCAGAGCAGGGGATGTGGGGAGGGAGGTCTCCAGCCCACCATCACTCACTCCTTCACACAGCTGGAATTGGCCCAGATGCTGAGATTGGCAGGTTCCAGCCTGAATCCCGGATCTTGGGGCTCTGGGGCAGGGACTGCACTGCTCTGCAGGGAAGGAACAGACACGGAGGCAAGTCAGCAGTAGGGATGGGAATTTCTTTTACACTTAAAACCTTGACAATTTATGAGCTTGTCTCCTGTCTGCTATCAGACCTCTAACTGCCCCACTGCAAATCCCTGAGGTGGCAGACATTTCAAACGATTTGAAGCAGCAGTACAGATTCACTGGGATCAGAATGAGTCACTGTGTCTTCATATTCCAGCTGGGATTGGTCAAATCGCTCTGGCGACAGGTCCGGCTCGGCAAGTGAAGGGAACCGAGAGGTGGGTTTATGTAAAGGGGAGATCTGGACTGCTGCTGCTCAAAGAGCAATGACTTTAACTGCCAGCAGGCAGTGCAGGACGTGACCCGGAGTTTTCTAGTCGAAGTCTGATGTGGGGACAGTCAGTGCTGCACAGGTACTGCTGCATGTCCATGGTGGCTCTGATTGACGTACGGATAGCTCCAGTTTACACTGCCCCTGGCTAACCACTGATTCCAGGCTCCATCAACAGAGTGTGTCTGTCTGGCCCCCGCAGAATCATCCACGCTCTTCCTCCCTGGCGTTCGCTAACATTGTGGGGGCCAAGCCAAACCTTTCCCTCTGACACTCTCGGCTGTGAAACCATACTGAGTAGGGTGTTTTCAGTCCGTTCCAATACTGAGACCACAGGACAACTAGGAGTACAGTGATAAGATTTATCTGCTGAGGTTTTTCTCTTCCTGGATTTCGTGCTTTGTGTGGCCACATGATCTGTGTTATAACCCTGTTTCCTTCTAGCTAATTTTACAGCACTACAGGTATGACTAAACTCACAACCTTCCGCCTAGAAGGCTATTGTACTAATTTTTCCATTACACTTAGCTGAGACATTCTCAAGATTATCCACTTAAGCAACAAGGAATGAAGTAAAGGCTCATGTGAAAAGTTCAACATGAGCTTTGTCTCTGCAGGAATGGAGTACAGATCTGTGGGCTGGGGGATTCCCAGCAAAAACACAGAGACCTGGTTCCCAAGCAGTTCACTTGCTTTCCCTGTGCTAAGGGCAAATTTGAAGACCATTCAGGTTCACTCCAGAAGGCCTTGTGTAGACATAATGCCTACAGCTGAAGCTGGATTCCAGCTTCATGGTACCTTCGTTGGAGACAATTTTCCTAAGACAATGCGATCCAAATTAAATTACAGATCAATGGACTGGGCTTTGAGTTCTCCAGCCTATATATTGACCAGTAGGCATGTTCTTCCAAATTCGTCCAACTGTTTTCCAAATAAAACAATAGTAGATGTTTACTAAAAGTGTGTCAGGGGTTGACAGTAGTCTCTGAGGCGGCCTTGTTCACAGCAAGGTGGTGAGGCAGGGAAGCAGTAGACTGTGAGGCGGCCTTGTTCACAGTGAGGCTGAAAGGCAGGGAAACAGTAGACTGGGAGGCGGCTTTGTCCACAGTGAGGTGGTGAGGCAGGGAAGCAGTTGACTGTGAGACAGGCTTGTCCACAGCGAGGCTGAATGGCAGGGAAGCAGTGAGGTGGGCTTGTCCACACTGAGGCGGTGAGGCAGGGAAGCAGTGAGGTGGGCTTGTCCACAGTGAGGCGGTGAGGCAGGGAAGCAGTGAGGTGGGCTTGTCCACAGTGAGGTGGTGAGGCAGGGAAGCAGTTGACTTTGAGGTGGCCTAATCCGCAGTGAGGCAGAAAGGCAAAGAAGCAGTTGGACTTGGAGCTGTAGCATCTGGGGGTGTCTGTTAGTATGTCTGTCATGCGGGGGGGACACACACCCTGATGGAGGTGCCGTGTTTCCCCCTCCTCCAGCCGCCTGGACGCCAACCGCATCATCAGTGTGCCGCCCAGCTCCTTTGACGGCCTGCTGTCCCTGCGGCACCTTTGGCTGGATGACAACGCCCTGACGGAGGTGCCCGTCCCAGCCCTGGCGGGACTCTCCTCCCTGCAGGCCATGACTCTCGCCCTCAACAGGGTCAGCCACATCCCCGACGGCGCCTTTGCTAACCTCAGCAGCCTGGTGGTCCTGTGAGTGCCGACCTCCCTCTCTGCCGCCAACCTTTATATGGGCACTGAACCCTGAACTGCCTCTTGTTTTCCACATAGTTTTATTAGTGAGGAAAGGCAGTTAAATGTGGGTTTGAAGCCACATGTCATCGAAGTGTGAAAATAGGGACCCTGTGTGGTTTGCTGGTGCCTTTGTACTGTGAGGGGTGGATGCTTGCAGTGGGAGTGACTCTTCTGGGTGTTTCCGGAGCAGGAAGTCAGCGCCCACCACCCATTTCCAATCACAGACGGCCAAAGTGCCCCCCCCACGCACACCTTTACTTGTATAAATGTTTATGTGTTCTCCTGAAGTCTAGCAGGTTGCTGTAGATCATGGTTGTTAAAACTCTTTGGTCCACTGGGCTGTCATGGATAAGAAATGCTGCTTTATTTTAAAGCACTCTTACAGTTTAATGTCTATAAACTGCCAGATCTGGTGGGTTGCAGTCTTTAAAAGCTCGCAGCTGTTGCTCAATCAGGAAGTCCCATCCGGGGGAATGCTCTGTTCCACTGAATGTTCCTTCATGTTCCTCCGCAGACATCTCCATAACAACAGAATCCACACCCTTGGGAAGAAGTGCTTCGATGGCCTTCAGAATCTGGAGACCTTGTACGTTGGACTGTAATTTGGGTTTGAGTTCTCCTAACCATGCCACGTGGGCAGCGAGATGGTGGTCTGGAATGTTCTCTCAAAAGGTCATATCATTTCTCTGTACGACTGATCAATACAAACCGTATTTAGTCTAAATGAATCTGTATGGTCCATGGAAGCATAATTAGAAGATTCTCCTGATGTGACTGCATGGTGTTTTCAGAAGCATTTTATTAAATCCTTCACATGACATGTTCTGTTGCTAAAAAAATCTCTCGTACATTGTCCAAATTAACCAAGGACCCCAAAGTGTTTGGTAAAAGTTGGTCCGCAGCACTGCCTGTAAGTGATGTATGTTCACAATCACAATGAGTCATAATCACTAACATGACCAATGTGGCACGTTTCTTGATTTTTTTCACTACAGCCAGACTTCATCCAGATACCATTTCATTGTTATCTCCATGTGTTTTAATATCTGTCTGTCCATGACGTGACTTGACAGATCTTGAAAGATGCTTTCAGCTTTAGGGGAACCGGGGAAAGTCACATAGCCAGGATTCTGGGAGCCAACACTGAAAAAAGTGAATCGTATCGGTTACTCCGCAGACTTTAACTTTCGTTATGTTAAGCACCGTTTGGTGACACTTACGGAGGTTTTAACAACGAAGATGTGAGACAGAGAGCTGCGGGAGCCGTGCAAAAATGAAAACCACATGAGGGCCCGAGAGCAGCCCCATGCATGAGCAGAGGAGTGGCCCTTCAAGGGCCACAAGTGGAACACACATGCAAGACACTGACTCTGCTTTCCATGTAGATGCAGGATGTCCAGTAAACCCCACCAAGCCTCATTTAGCATTTTTAATTATTTCTCAAAACTGTAATGGAAGAGCGGTTAACGATGCGTATAGATCAAAGGGATTGTTGTGTAAGAGCTTCATGTTTTAAATCACATTCACTTTTGTTAAGCATTTTTAAGAGCTCTATGATCTGTGCATTTGTCATCCTGGAAAAACTTCGACACAAATCCAGAAAAACGCATTTATCATCCTGAAAAACTTCGGTACAAATGTGGACTGCCTTGTCAATGTGTCTGACCATCTAAAGTCTGCGTGATTTTTAACACCAGTTTTTGCTGAGAGTGACTTAATGTTCAAGAACCATCTAATATTTTCAATGTGCTGCAGGGACTTGAACTATAACAGCTTGGTGGACTTCCCTGTTGCCGTCAAAGCCCTCACCAACCTGAAGGAGCTGTGAGTACCCAGTCTGCACTGTGACCACCGTGTCACTTCCTGCTGTCCAGTTTATGTCACTCACCCTGATGCTCTGTTCCAGGGCATTTCACAGCAACAACATCCGGTCCATTCCAGAGCAGGCCTTCGTTGGGAATCCTTCACTGCTGACAATGTAGGTCTCCCTGTTCCCGCAGTAACAAACGTAACGTCTGTGTCAAACCATGTGTGAAGATTACATCTGCTAAATGACACATTAGATCCACATTCTCCTGTCTTGAGATTTTGTCCAGTCATAATTAGGAATCAGAAGCTTAGATGTAAGCTTAGATGTGATGCATATCGCGTTTACAAACTTGCCACCTGAGGAGAACCTCAACTTTATCTGTGTCAATCATAGGTTTTATCTCAATGAATGGTACCAGAAGCTTCTGCCTCCTGTTTGCCCTCACTTGGTTGTTTTCTAGAACATTCACTTTTGTAATCCATGGTTCAGATAATGGAATTACGAGCTGTCAGCTCATTAATGACTTTCCTCCCAAACTTAATGGTTTAGCCTAATGCAGAGACATGGCGGTGCTCCATCGGAGCTTAGACGGGGCTCAGAAGGACCTTTTATAACACACAAGGCTGGAAGGCTTTCTGCTCTGTCTTTAGAGGCCCTTCACAGGCTGTTACCTCTTTGAAATTGGTGTTTGGCAGAGCAGGACTTTCATCATTTGGCACCGTATTGTACTCCGGCATCTTTAACGACCGGCCACATTAACCCAGAGAGTCCCGCTCCGGATCGGAGCTGCTGTTAGTGGGCCGGTGTGTGGCTTTGTGTACTGTGATCAGAAGGTCACCGGTTCCAATCCCAAGGTTGGCGGAATGATTTTTTTTGATGATTTCAAGGCCCATGCGCTTCAAATTCTGTCTCCGAACAAAAATGTAAATCGCTTTCGATAGAAGTGCCTTTTTAAAATATAAATGATCTCTTTGCTTTGCACAGTTACTTCTATAACAACCCCATCCAGTCCATTGGCAAGTCGGCCTTCCAGCTCCTTCCAGAACTGCGCACATTGTGAGTCCACCTAACGATACGATGTCCTCAGCTGCTCGTGAACCTCCAACTCGATGACGTCAGGTTCGCACCCTAACCTGCTCCATATTACCCCCAGATCTCTGAACGGGGCCACGGAAATCACGGAGTTCCCGGACCTCACCGGTACCATGAGTCTGGAGAGCCTGTGAGTCACAGCCATCGTAAAGCTTACAAGCTCTGATGCTGCATGAACAAGTAAAGCGTATCAGACCAGGCCATTCTGAAGCATTCCACAATGTGACACATACAGTTTAATTGAAGGCGATACAGTTTCTCCCCCTAGACCTAATTACCCTGAAGTGTGATTGATGACTTTGCTTCCCAGCCCTGAAACCACAACAATTAACTAGCTGTACTTCAAAATTTCAGTTGAGCACAAATTACTAAGAAGCCCTGAACTGTTTCCATGGTTCTAATGTCTTTACTTTTAAACTGACCAGAACCATCACTGGAGCGCGGATCTCCTCTCTCCCGAGCACCTTGTGTAACCAGTTACCCAAACTCAAAGTTCTGTGAGTGCCATGCAAATTAGAATGCCATGTCATTCTAATTTTTGTATGCTTCCAATTTGCAAATACTTCATACTCGTAGTGAAAGATGTCCTGGCTTCTAATCGAAAGCTGTGCCTCCAGGGATCTTTCTTACAACTTGATCCAGCACCTCCCCAGCTTCAGCGGCTGTGGAAACATCCAGAAAATGTAAGAGCAACTTTATCAAGAGACACACAAGACTGAGTGGTCATGTGTCCTTAACTACTTCCCGTGCAAAGTTCCTGTCCTCTGTGGAAGACCTCTGCTTCTCTTTTTTCCTACAGAAACCTCCATCACAACAAAATCCAAGAAGTTCTTTCAGGAACTTTCCAGAGCCTTCCGGCACTGAAATCTGTGTGAGTGTCCTCCCACTGCAGCTCTGACTCTGACCCTAAGGCCACTGCTCAATGAAGCTTAGTACCTTAAAGCAACTGGGACATCTTGAACAGGCATTTTCTAGGGATGGCTTCCTGGATGTTGGTTTGCATATATTAATCACTGGCTAAGTTGGTTAAGAGGCATTAATTAAGACTGGCGAAGGTCATTTAAAGCATACAGTAGTGCATCAAACTGACTGTGTAAATGTCCCAAGAGTTCCAGAAAGATAGACAAAGAGTTATCATCCAGGGTGAGCGTGAATATAGCCTTACAGAAGCACAAGGTGATTACTCTGGTCATCTCATATCATCACATCATAGTGCATCACAAAAATACAAAATAGCAATGATAGGAATGAAATACATGCTGAAATGGAACAATAAAAAAAAAAGCCTCGACCATACAAACACCCGTATCATTATTTACATAGTTCATATGTTTACAGATATTCATTAATTCAAAAAAAAAAATAATAATGTGGCAGTTATGGGCAAATTCTGTGAGTGAAGTAGAGCAATGACATTAATGTTTGCCATATATTTGACTGGGAGGATTATTTTCCACCCAATGTTGTGTCAGCAAAGAGTTGGAGTGGGTGTAACTTTTTACCCTGCTAAGTTTGCACACTCACGGTGTGGAGGGAGTGAGGGTGTGTGACACGGCTTATGGTGTGCACTGACACGTGGTCACACAGGGTGGGGGGGGGGGGGGGGCTTCCGATTGGCTAGCCACGGCAGGTCCATTAGACATGCTGTCACACTTGGCTCAGCCAAATGCCCTTGATCTTGAAGCGGTTGACTCACGTGGGGAAAGGCTGGGAATATCCAGTTACCCACGGTGTGGACTCAGCTACATGGAAAAAAAGCCCATAATCCCTCTGTTCAGGGGGATGCCGAATTACCACACACATTTGCTGCGAACCTATTCCTCGGGAGTTTGGTGGTCAATTCCGCAGTATTTAGACTGGCAGGTCACAAAGTTAGGCCTTCAAGATGAGTTTTCACTTTCCATCTGCCTGTTTCAGCTCACCGAAGGCACCATGCACTAATTCATCCTTTGAGATCCCGGACTTCAGAGCTGGGAAACAGACGTCATACATCTACCCAAACAAATATTGTTTCACTGAAACTATAATCACGTCATTGGTCATATTTTAATGTGAAGTCTGTTTTGTTGTAAAGTTTTGAAAAGGGTTTTTTCCTTACCTGTGAATTTATGGCAATTCACAATTCAAATCTGCAGGGATGTATGCTAATCATTTGTCTGAATGTTGCCTTCACCAGCTTAACATATTGGGGGGAGAAAGGATATAAATTATAAGGATATAAAAAGTAAATAAAATGTCCCATTCATTCAGACATGGCAGATCTAGGGAAAAACGATGACTAGGTCACGTTCTCTGACAGCTGTCAGATATCTCCAGTTCTGTGTCCTGATAGAAGTTTTGCTGCATGGAAATGAGCAGGACATCCTTTCAGAGGAACGCGAGTTGCATGGCTGGAAACCATCGTCTGAGGAAGAGTCACCATGTTTTTCCACGTCAGACCATAAAAGAGGCTTTTATGGACACGACTGGCGCTCTCTCTGACTTTGCAGCAACCTTTTTCTGCATTTCTCTCTGATGTCGCTAAACATTCCTACACTGTGACCGCTGAGCGCAACCGCTTAATTAAAACTGACCTTCGGGCGTAAAAATCTCAACGGAGGCGCGTCGCGGAGCCCTCCCAAGACGTCGAGAGAGAGGCCATTCGTGTGTGCGTGTATGTCAGAGTCTCTTACGAAATCCTCGCCTCTCTCTCTGCTTCCAGATCTTAAGAGCACCACCTCTTTCCTTTGTTCTTACAGTGACCTGGCCTGGAACAGAGTCTGCACTGTGGAATCCGGCGCCTTCTCCCACCTCCCGCTGCTGGCCAGGCTGTGAGGGTCCTGCTGCTTCCACCCGCCGCTCCGTTTGCTGGCTGCTCTCTCTGAGCTCTTTGCTCAGGACCTGTCTCTCCACCCCCTCTCAGGGACCTGACCTCCAATCAGCTGTCGTCCCTCCCTGCCGCCGGCCTCCAGAGCCTCACGCACCTCAAGCTGGTGGGAAATGGCAGGATGAAGGAGCTGCTGTCTGCAGAGGACTTCCCAGTGCTCAGGTAGGGATATATGTAGCCAGGATGCTACCTTGTCGCCTTATGGCTCCATTGGAACAGCAGCCTCTACATTAAGGTACTTTATTTTATACGGTCGCAGACTCAAACTATTCAGAACCAATAACCATCTGTTGGTACCATAAATACCAGGTAATGCCACCGCATGGGACTCAAATCAACAACATGTCCTTATTGATAACCACTATGTTGATTGCTGCCTTGACATCTTAAGCATAAGAAGATAATTCACTGCTGTTTTCCTTTGAGACCGTTGACAAGCTCAGCAAAGAGCCTCAATTTGACGCAGTTACTTGGCAGATGTTGTGGGAAATGGATCCATTGTTGCCACAGGCTGTTCATTGACCCAGTTCACCTTTGGGGTCTCCAGGGTGATGGAGATGCCATATGCGTTTCAGTGCTGCGCTTTCGTGGCCTGCGAGATGTCACCAGAGCCCTGGGCCACGGAGGAGAGCAGTGGCGTCAAGGAGATACGCGGCAGGACAGGCGGGGAGCTCATGCCCAGGCCAGGTGAGGTCTGCTTCTGCGGAAAAGCCCGGAATGCTGCTCAGGATCTTGCAGTCACGCACAAAGCACTTTTCACCGACGTGCGAAAGAGTGCAGGGCTCCAGATGGCAACTAAAATGGTTGCCAGTGCGACTGGATTTTTTTATTTTACAACACTTTTGTTCCATTGTCGATTTGCCTCTCCTCGTTTTCACTCGCCACCTGCCACGATGCCTCGTTCTGCCCGGCACTGTGGTATGAAGTTTATACGGTGCGCATTGTCCCCTATTGTTACAGCGTGGCCTGGGGAAGGCAGGAAAAAGGTGACGATCCAAGAGAAAGGGGATTATTAAAACAGAACTGATCACACTAATAAAAACCAACAGGATCAAGAACAGGTTAGGGGACAAACCTTCCAACACACAGTAGCACAAGCCTAATGACTGACTGGAGAACAGACCAGGGCAGCTTAAATACACATAAAAAACTGGAGCAAACAGGAAATACGTGTAAGACAGTGTAAGATATAATCAATTAACCAATCAAATGAGGCACAAGAGAAAGGAGTGTAAGCAGTAACACTACATAAACACAGAAGTAATAGACAGAAAACACTAAAACTAGGAACGCCAATCATACGCTAGGAATTACTGCACTAGGAAACTTAACTTGGAGCAAAAATGCACACAGAGAAAACTTAAGAGCAAGGGATCCAAAATAGAACATAGAGGAAACGGAAAAGCCAAATGAATCCTAATAAACAGATGAGGGCAGCCAGAGGCCAGACCAAAGCCGTAAGCAGCAGGTACTGAGTTTCTGAGCCACATGCTGAGACCACTGAGCTGAGTGGCAGTCCTGGGCGTAAGGGACAGGGAGGGCGACACCTGCTGGCCAAACGGGGAGGAGACATGAAGGGCAGGGACAGACGGTGTCTATTCCTGCTGCGGCCATCCAGGTCTGGCATATTTCATTGTCATTTATGCTTCTGTCGTTATGTGTAAGAATGCAGAAGACAATAGCAGGCAGGGCAGGTAGCTCAGAGAGGAGGCAGAAAAGGCATCGTCAGGTAAACCGGAGACAATAAATATTTTTTACTTATTTCACATTTGGCATGTGATGGATGTTATGGCTCCAAAAAAAGCTCCTAGGTATTGTGGGGTTAGGAGCCAATTACCCCTAAATTTCTTTTGTTTATTTTTTTGTCTGAAACCCTGGAGTTTTCCATCTGACTCCACAGGTGTTTTCTCCATGTTGTAGAGCAGCAGGTAAGCAGCAGGTAAGCAGGTAACCCTACGCCTGACTCTCAGAGTGTGATCTATGTGGTTGTTCTTCCAGAGGATCATGACCTTGAAGATTTTCCCCTGGAGCTTGACGAGGACCCAAAGTTCCATCAGTTGGTTCAGTGCAACCCAGCACCAGGTGTGTGTGTGTGTGTGGGGGGCCTTCCAGAACAGCCAGACCTGAAGACTCAATGTGCCGAGTGAATTAAAAGTGGCACCTTCTCTGAAATTATTCTTTCTGACCATTTCAGCATAACGCTTCTAGAGTGCACAGTGATTGTAATAAACCTATGGCATGTAAAGTGGAGAGAGTAATATCTGGAAGTGGGAAGATGTTTTAGATTATACAGAAGCTTGTTTAACATTGTGTGCTTGAAGTCAAGTAGTATCAAATATGGATATTACATTTTTATTTAATTAAAAAAATGAACAAAAGGAAGATTGGTACTATAGAGAAAATGCAGTGGTGCAGTGCGTATCGCAGTTACCTCACACCTCTGGGATCCGGGTTTAAGTCTCTGACTATGGTGCGTGACCCTGAATGGGACAAGCAGTTACAGAAAATGCATGGACAGGTATTAGGTATTACGCTGCTATCTTGTATTATTTACTGTCTTTCTGCAGGACCTCTCCAGCCCTGTTCCCACCTCTTCGGGAGCTGGGTCATACGTGCCGGCATGTGGCTCATCGCGCTGCTGTCGCTCACCTGCAACACCCTAGTGGCCTGCACGGTCTTCCTGTCCCCTGCCCTCGTATCTCCAGCCAAGCGTCTTGTGGGCCTCTTGGCTGTCTCCGACTGTGTCGTCGGCCTCTCCGGAGGTGTGCAGGCCGTGGCCGATGCCCTGACCCTCAGTGGCTTTGCAGCATACGCTGCCTGGTGGGAGGGAGGCGTAGGATGTAAGGTCACGGGCTTCCTGTCCGTCTTCGCCGGTGAAACCAGCGTCTTCCTGCTGACCACTGCCATGGTGGAGTACAGGCTCTCTGTACGCTGCTCCAAGAGGTCAGGGGCTCGGCCGGCCCCCAGAAGCATGAGGATGATTTCAGGCCTGTGTTTCGGCCTGGCTCTGGCCATCACTGCCCCCTCCGTCCTCTACATGGGCCAGCACACCATCTCCTCTCTATGCCTGCCTCTGCCCTTTGGAGAGGCTTCCAGCATGGGCTTCATGGTGGCTTTGGTGCTCCTCAACTCGCTCTGCTATTTTGTCATGACAGTAATCTACACCATGCTCTACTGCAGCTTGGCAAAGGATGAGCTGGACAGCTTCTGGGACTGCTCCATGATAAGCCACCTGGCCAGGCTGCTCGTCACTAACTGCCTGCTCTACATTCCCGTGGCCTTCCTCTCCTTCTCCTCTCTGCTCAGCCTCTCCTTCATCAGCCCAGTAATGGCGAAGTCTGTGCTGCTGATCATTGCCCCCCTTCCCGCCTGCCTGAACCCACTACTCTACGTGTCCTTCAACCCTCACTTCAAGGAGGACTTGGCTTTGCTCTGCAAGCAGGCACGGCTGCTGAGGGGGCACCACCATGCCAGCTTGATCTCCTTGAACTCTGAAGATGCAGAGAAGCAATCATGTGACTCCATGCAAGCTCTGATGATCAACACATCTCTCCAGGAGGCCCGGGAGGATGAGGAGCTCTACGGAAACCCTGTGCCCTTTGTCCCTTGCAGTTAGACAAGACCCTATGTTGGGCTGCTTTGCTGGATTAACATCCTATTGGTCCACAGTCCTGACTAGCATTGTAGAGACCAGAAGACAACTGGTGCAGCACCTGAACCCAGACCAGGTAGGTGGCCAGCTGGTGGAAGACAGAGATAATTAAGCTTTTCCGTGATTAAACTTCATACCATCATGGCAGCGTCAGGCGATGTTGGATGTTCCTCTGAGGCGCCCCGAAGTCCAGAAGCCTGCTGATTGTGCAAAGATGGCGGTTAACCGTGACGAGCTTCTCCTCTTTTTGCTTGTGACACAGCCGTGTGGAACGTTTCAAAGGCATTTTACAGACCCACAGATCAACAGATACCAGAAATAAAACCGGAACTGAAGTCAGACGCCTTGCCTTTGGGACGTGACGATAAGATTCATGCAGTGATCGATTGTGTTGGAACTGCACTGCCGGATGTTGCTGGTTCTATGTTCTCTGGTTGTTTTGGAATCTGACACATTTAGCCTGTTAAACATGAGGTTGTGGACATATCCAGACTTCACTCATCTATGCATTATATTGTACAAATCAATTTACTGTGATTTGTGACTTTTTATCGCATATAGCCTATAAACAGAAATGTATAACATTTCCTTCTGTTAGTGTTTAACTTTATGTCAATATTTATGGGTGTTTATTTGATATTAAATGTATACAATGTACACACATTGTCAATATCTGCCTTTGTGGTCTCTTTGTCTTTGTAGACTCATTTAATGACCCCTGTAGCAGCTGCTATCAGACATACTGTGAACTCCTGCCGTTCACATTCCGTGTCACACTATACATATTATTATACATATACTTTGTTCTGCAGCCAGGCATTCAGCGAGGCTGTTAGCTGGGCGGGGCTTTCAAGTGGCTTAGCTGTCCGTCTCAAAGATTTGACCACAAACCTCTTGTGAAAGTCGACACCCTCTTTGAGGAGAACATTTGGACTGGCGCTGTTGTACTTCGTCTATGTTTTAAAAAATATATACACAGCAGAATTTGGTAGTAAGAAACATCAAAGACTTTAATGGGTTTCTCGCAGACTGCTCAGGATCGGGAGTCTATGAACTTGAGGTGAAGACTACACACTGATCTTTTATTACTTCAGAGGTTTTCATTAGCCTGAACAGGGAGGAAGATACCACCTCAGGATTATGGTGGTGGGTTACTGGGAGGGGATATTTATAAATATGATGGGAATGATTTTAAAAAATCTAAGAAACCCCTTTACGACTATGTTTACTTTTGCCTGCTAAATCTGTTTTTTTGTTTTGTTTTGTCGGATAGTCGTTGACGTATTTGTTGGACGTGATATGGGATCTCTGTGCTTCACAGTAATTTAGTTAAAACCTTGTTTGGCAGCATTAATGAGACCAGTCCCATTGGAAAATAAACCACGATGCTTGATGCCAGAGTGCTGGGTACAGGGCAGTGGAATCTTCCCTTTGTAAGTGCTGTGACACAAACATCCCCAAACACAGAGAAAAGGAGCAAGACAGCCCAAGTGAACGTGCAAGATGTGCGAGTACAGGAATCGTCCTGTTTCAGGCCTGGGCTCTGTGTGTAATGACCATGAATGGATGGTGCAGTGATTTAGGCCTCTGTGATTGGAAGGTTGCTGGTTCAAATCCCATGCTTGGCAGAGTAGCCCCATATCCATCAGGTCCTTGAACAATGTTCCAGGGGCACTGGAGGGTGATTGACCCAATGCCCTCATGCCAAGCGTCACTGTCAGCACTGTGTGTGTTTCTGTCTGTCTGTCATACATGGAAGCTAGCGTGTTCACATGGATTTGTACAAATGTCAAATAAAGCTTCATTTAATTTTATGGATGGATCAGGAGGTCTTGGGCTCCAAGCTCATTCTGGAAATCCTTCTTGTCTATATGGGCTCTTCATGTCGCCTCCACGTGGAGACCGTGACCCGATAACACATGCCTCTTACAGGCGGGCATCGAACAGACCTCAGCTGGCACCCTCGACCGCTCGCGCCCATCGAACAGGCCTCAGTTGGCACCCTCGACCGCTCGCGCCCATCGAACAGACCTCAGCTGGCACCCTCGGCCGCTCGCGCCCATCGAACAGGCCTCAGCTGGCACCCTCGCCCGCTCGCGCCCATCGAACAGGCCTCAGCTGGCACCCTCGACCGAACAGGCCTCACTCTCGACTGCTCACACCTCTCTCATCTGACAGCATCGCACACGTTTTGTAGGAAAAGAAGTTATTTTATGATCCTGAGCTCAGTGAGGAAAAATGCTGCGTAAATATAGAATGTCATTTGGATAACAAAAGCATATGTGAAAAGAAAACAGAGCAAGACGAAGAGACAAGACTGACCTTTCACTGCTGTTGGAGATACATGTATTTTGTGTTAATCTTTAAAATCGACTGTTTCCTATTATATTATTTGTTTAATTTCTGCAGATATTTTTCCATTTTTTAACCGGGGAAAAAGGGAAGGCATTAGTATGAATAATGACTGTGGTTGTTCACGATAAGTACAAAATCATACATGTGAGATGAACAAACAAAATACACAAGCCCCCTGCCCCACTGCCCCCCAGAACTAAGTGTTAAAATATTATTATGTGGTGTAGAGATTACTTTCACATAATTACCTGGATTGGCTTCCCGAAGTTTTGGGTTAACACTCTACATTCCATGATAAATTATTGATTAAGTCATTTAATCAGTTTGGTTCCAGAAGGTTAAGCACAAATCTGGATCAGCCCCAGTTCCTGCCTAAACGATCCCAGCGAACACGGATCCTGACGTCCTTCTCACGCTAATCGCCTGCTTGCTCCTACTCATTATTCCGTTGCAGATACACGGCCCGGCGAAGCCTGACTGATGTGTTTACTGAACACTTCTTAGCGCCAAATGGCTGGAATGTCCGTGTTTAGTGTGGAGCCGTCGATCCGGGGAAACGGAGAGCGGGGTCGTAAATAAAGAGCGTCGTTCGCTAATGAAGACGGAATGTTGGCGAGAAGTCAGAGCTGATTGGCAGAGCATCACTGAGCTGATAATCCCACCAAAGCCGATAGTGCGGCTTTGACAGCCTGGATTCCTCCTTTGAGCCATTAAAATGTTAAATCGCCTTCACAGACTCAGTATGCATGTGCTGTAACGCCCCAAAAATAACACCTGGCTGTTTTTCATTAACTCCTCCCAGCAGACCGGCCTGGTAGAGTCACAGTCGATGTGCCATACGGCTGTCCTCTTAAGGAACACAAATAATCTGTGCCCATCCCCCCCAACACACACCAAGCACCTGGAGACGGTCTGTGTGACCGTCGGATGAAGATGCAAAGTCCACACGCAGAGTTGAGGGATGGAGCCCACAACCCACTGAGCCTGCGTCTCCCCCCAGACCTCTTAGAGTTCACTCAAAGGGTCGCAGCTGCATCAGAGACTCAAGGTGTTTTGATTAATGAACAGCAGGGGCGTGTGCAAGGGCGTAGGCACTGGCCCCATTTGAAAGCTGATTGGCCCCAGGAGTGCCCCCTCCCTTGTCACTCACCGATTCAAAACACGTCATTGGCTAGTGATAAGGCCGGCCGCTCTGGATGAAGGCAGCCTATGTTCCTCCCGCAGCCGCTGGCTTTTTGGACCCTGCCTGCCATCATGTCTTGCTCCTGCTCCGTCATCAAGGCCAACAGAAACGTTTTCGCGACGCCTAAGAAACGTTGTTCCATCGTGGACTCCGGACTGAGACGTCTTGCAGACCGTGGCCGGTGCCTTGCTCTTCGGCCAGGTATTTAAAGACCACCATAAAGATCTGACTCGTCATTGAGGCTGGAAAAGCGTTTGTCCGTTAACTGCGGCGGGAAATCGCTCTCCGTGCACCAATAACATGTCTGTACTACCTTTCCATGTTAAGACAGTAATGGACAGAAGAATCAAAGACAGCCAGAATCACAAAAGAAACCACTAAGGGCTTCCCCACACTCTCCTTTTCTCACAAAATATCCTCAGATCTAAAAAGCACAAGCAGCAGTATTTAATCGAGAGTCTTTCCCATAAGACATACTTCTTAGAGCTGGGGGGCTCGAATTGTGTCCTTTAAACTGCTGACTAAAAACAATGAACCCTAGTCTTCTTCTTACAACATATCTCTCTCACTTTATCATTTTTAAAGACTATTTATCTTCATCATATTATTGATATATTATTTCACCCTTATAAGGTATACAATCAATAAATAATAAATATGCATGAGATCATGGCAAAAAAATCATGTGACTGACGGGACTTGGTGCGCAGTGCACATCTGGACATTATTTAAAATGAAACGAAACATGAAAAATCGTCCTTTTTACTGGACACTTAGTGAAATAACAGATCTTTGTTACCTGTGCTTCTGTGGAAAGCGTATTTTTGTTTGATCTTCAGGGAAGCAGGCGTGCTGTGCGTGTGGATCAGGGGGTAAACACAGATGTTTTCTCTCAGTCCTGAGCAACGTGGGGTGAGTGAGATTTTGCCGTGGGATGTGTCACTCACTGCCGGCCTCTGGGACTCTCTTAGCTGTTAGCCTTTGCTGGACTCTTCCAATATGGGCCCAAAGGAAGGAGAGCAGCTAATGTCTTTAACTGCTGATGCGCTTCAGAGAACTTTCGACGTGTGTGAGCCACAGGTCACTGACTCACCTGTCTGGCTGATTAATGGCCTGAAGCCGGTCTCTTTCTCATATTGCCCCCCTGTGATGGGCAGGTGAAGCCGGTGTCTTTGTCATATCGCCCCCCTGTGGCGGGCAGGTGAAGCCAGACTCTGTCTCATATCGCCCCCCTGTGACGGGCAGGTGAAGCCAGACTCTTTCTCATATCGCCCCCCTGTGGCGGGCAGGTGAAGCCGGAGTCTTTGTCATATCGCCCCCCTGTGACGGGCAGGTGAAGCCGGACTCTTTGTCATATCGCCCCCCTGTGGCGGGCAGGTGAAGCCGGACTCTTTGTCATATCGCCCCCCTGTAACGGGCAGGTGAAGCCGGACTCTTTGTCATATCGCCCCCCTGTGGTGGGCAGGTGAAGCCGGACTCTTTGTCATATCGCCCCCCTGTGGCGGGCAGTCCAAATGGCCAGTAACAGGAGGTGCTCAATTTTAAGGGTTTTTCCAGGCAGGCAGCCTCTTGGGTCACCCAGGTTACCCGCTCAGAAATGAGATTGCCCTACAAAAAGGGTGGTTGTAACTTATAAGACCATATAAGTCATATAACCTGTGTATAACTTTTGACCCACCCCTCCCCCCCCCCCAAAAAAAAAACTTACCTATTAACTGAACTGAAAACTGAAATAACCCAGAGGAAACCCCACAATGACATGGGGAGAACATGCAAACTCCACACGGAACCCTAACCAGACCCAAAGGGGGAGCCCGTCCTCCGGGGGGGGCAGAGGAAGCCCTAACCCTAACCAGACCCAAAGGGGGAGCCCGTCCTCCGGGGGGGGCAGAGGA